AGGCAGGAGAATCACTTGAGCCCAGGAGTTTGAGGTTGCTGTGAGCTAGGCTGATGCCATGGCACTCTAGCCCGGGCAACAGAGTGAAACTCTGTCTCAATAAAAAAAGGATTTGTGTTTTCCCATCCGTAAATTATTCTGTAAAGCAGGACACAAAACCAGAAGTTCTAAGAAAAAAATTGATTAAGTTTTACCACATAATATTTGGAAACTTATGTATGGCCAAAAAATGCCATTAACAAAGGCTGTAGAGACCCAACTGGAGATTAGAAACCTTGGAGAGAGTCATTTAAGTATAGTGGGAATCTCAAAACAACTGCGGTGGACTGCATAGAGTGGAGAAGGAGAAAGTGAGACCTTTACCAGAAGTACAGTACAGTAATGAAAGGAAACAAAGAAAGAGAATGGTATCTTGACAGAGTAGTGTGGAGAAGGGAAGTTGTTGATTACTAGCTAGAAGATCTTAGGGAAGTTACTTGATGTTTATAAAGTCTCAATTTCTTCATAATAATAACAATAATCTTTATAATGTTATATTCATCATAATAATTTCATAATAATTTTCCTCATAATAGTTTGAACTCATTGAGTTGTGAGAATTCAATGGTTAGGTATATTTTAAGCACTCAGCACAGTAGCTGGCACATAGTGGAAACTCAATGTTTATTATTGTTGTATTGTTGTTATTATTATTGATGTTTTTTGGGGGGATGTGGGACTCTTAGGTGTGTTTCAATGCAGAAAGAAAGTTGCCAATGAAAAGAGGAACACCCACACAATAGTCCCAGAGGAAACAGAGAAGAGAGGGGAAGAACACCAGTGGAAGGGCCAACTTTGAAAAGGAGGCGATAGACTTCTTCCTGCAGGAGAGGAGGGACAGTGAGAGAATTAGAGAAAAGATGGGAAGTTTTAAGGTCTAGGCACATGAACTTGAGGGTCTCGTAGAATGGCCTCAATCTTCCTGGTAATGTAGGTTATGAAAAAGTTACAGAGATTAAGAGGAATAACATGGTTTGAATTTTTGATGACAAGTGGGGAAAAGTCTGAAATAGCTCCATGGAGAATATAAAACAGAATTAACTAAGGAATGGGGAATTATTGTTCAGTAGGCATAGAGTTTTAGCTTTGGAAGATGAGAAAACATTCTGGAGATGGAGGGTAATGGTTGCACAACAATGGGAATGTACTGAATGCCACTGAAGTGTACACTTAACAATGGTTAAAATGGTAAAAATGGTAAATTTTATGTTGCATATATTTTACCACAATTTTAAAAAACGATATAAAGAAGAATTTAAAAAGTGGCAGTGGAAGAAGTAGAAACATGAGAGTTTGTTCGTAAACAGGAGAATTGCAATATTCCCTATCTTAGAGACAAAGATCTTCTGTTATTAATGGTGGTCAGGATGAGGTTTTGCGGGTGAGCTGTTGGAGAGTGTTAAAGAGTCGTCAGTGCAGACACTGAAGTCGCCAAGGGTGACAACAGCAAAGGCTACAGTGAAGAGAAAAAGAGTGCAGGGTCCCTTGTGACTAGAAAGGAGAGAGATTAGCATAAGTAATTGGGCCTAAGGTTGGAGTCAGAAAGGACTTTCTCTACTGGCCCTGGGAAATGTGCACACAAGGAAAGGGAGTGGGTTTTGAGAATAGTGGCATCACCAAGGGAAAGTCATTTATTGGTTTATTTAATTTAATTTTTTTTTTTGGAGACATGGTCTCGCTCTGTTACCCAGGCTAGAGTCCAGAGGGGTCATAGCTTACTGCACCTCAAACTCCTGGGCTCAAGTGATCCTACCTCAGCCTCCCGAGTATCTGGGACTACAGGCATGAGCCACCACATCTGGCTAATTTTTCTATTTTTAGTAGAGATGGGATCTCACTCTTGCTCAGGCTGGTCTCAAACTCCCGACCTCAAGCAATCCTCCTGCCTCAGCCTGCCAGAGTGCTAGGATTACAGGTGTGAGCCACTGCACGCAGCCTAGAAAGAGCTTTTGCAGGAGAAGGAGGAAGAGGGTAAGGAGTGTGAATGTGTGTGGGTGGGGAACATTCCAGAGGAAATGACATACATTTAAATTAAGGAAAAAACCTGAAGGAAGCTTTTAATCTGCCAGGAAATAATATCTTAAATAGAAATTTACTAGTTGGTTATTCACCTTTGAGCAGCAGCAACAATAAAAAATATATGAAGTCTAGTCCTTTTCAAAGTTGCAACTGTGTGTGGTTCCCTCTTTGGCTGGAGAAGTCTTCCATTCAACAAATACTGAGTGCCCCTTACGTGCTGGGGACTATGGGTTCCATCAGCATTAACCCATGGGACACTACATGGAAATTTTCATTTCACTTTGTTGTATTATGTACCTCTGATCAGCTAGAAAATCATTTATTGAATCACTAACCTCTTATATGTCAGGCAATTTCCCTCTTTTGAAATATGGATACCCTTAAGAATGTTAAGTTGGCTGTTGGCCTTTCTTTCCTTATTGTGAATTTTATTTTTAAAATAAATTAATTTAATCAGATTGCTTTCCTATGGTGAGTCTTGTTAAAATTCAAAGTTTATGAGAAATTTTTATTAAAAATCCATACTCATTATGGAAAATTTAGATGATACAGAAAGGACTTTGATGTCCTAGAAAGTAGTTAAATGTTTTTTTTTTTTTTTTTGAGACAGAGTCTCACTCTGTTGCCCGGTCTAGAGTGCCGTGGCATCAGCCTAGCTCACAGCAACCTCAGACTCCTGGGCTCAAGCAATCCTACTGCCTCAGCCTCCCAAGTAGCTGGGACTACAGGCATGCGCCACCATGCCCGGCTAATTTTTTCTATATATATTTTTCGCTGTCCAATTAATTTCTTTCTATTTTTGGTAGAGACGGGGGTCTCGCTCTTGCTCAGGCTGGTCTCAAACTCCTGAACTCAAACGATCCACCCACCTCGGCCTCCCAGAATGCTAGGATTACAAGCGTGAGCCACCGCGCCCGGCCATTAAATGCTTTTTAATGAAACACAACTGGTAATCATTTTAAGGAAATACTAACTTCCCTAAGGTTTCATTGTCACAAATTATGCTGCCTAAAAAGGATGATAATAAGACAAATCCATTATCTAATATTGGGCTAGGTGCTGGAGAAACAGTAGTGAACAAAGTGAAGGAGCTCTGGAAATTTCACTCCAAAATATGACCCCTTAGTATAAAGAATATTTTGAATTAAAGGCTTTTAGAGATTAACAGGCCCTTGGAAAAGGTTTTCCCTCTATCTGCATAAACCATAAACGAGACTGACCTGATCAAAAGATCAAAGGATCTTTGACCTGATCAAAGATCAAAAAAGATCAAAGACAAATTTAAAAGTCAATCTGTGTCCCCTATCTATTCATCCTCCCTAGCAGCCGTTTATGGCCCCTCAACAGAATTGCCTATACTCTTCATTTTCCCCCCTCTGCTCTGCTGGGAGTGGTGGCTCATGCCTGTAATTCTAGCACTCTGGGAGGCCGAGGCAGGAGGATCGCTGGAGCTCAGGAGTTCCAGACCATCCTGAGCAAGAGCGAGACCCCGTCTCTACTAAAAATAGAAGAAAAAAAAATTAGCTAGTCAACTAAAAGTAGAAACAAAAAATTAGCTGGGCATGGTGGCTCG